CTTCTGCAGCTAAATTTAGTCACAAGCAAAGAAATTAAACTTCTCTGATCTGAAAGCAAAGTAGCCTTCAAGAAATACAGAGGCAGTGTAAAACTTTCTTGTGCTCCAAACTTTCTTTAGGTCACCAATTTGCCATTGAAAAAAATCACAACTAAGTGGTTCCATCAGATACAAATTTCGCGGTGAGCGGAACTCCTTATGCCAATTGCAAAAAGAACCAATGGTGGCTGCAATGCTGAATGAGAGCACTACTTGTGCATGTAAATAAGTTCATCTTCTTTGCATTCTCTTATTTCCATTTCCATCACTTTACCAGATGTAGAAGGCAATACATCACAACAATGTCTTCTTGGTGCTAGCAACTGCATGAATCATTGAACAAAATGTTAAAATAATTTAAACATATAAGAGTCCTAATTATAGGAAAGGGGCCGAGCTTGTAACAGCCCAGCCCGATAGTGATATTGTCCTCTCTGGGCCTAGACCCTCACGGGTTTAAAACGCATCACTAGGGTCTAAGGCTTGTTAACTTATATACCCAGCATCCCTCTTGTGTTTTGCCGACGTGGGACTCTGTCTATAGTCTGGGGTGTTACATACACCCCCTCTTATGGACTCATCGTCCTCGCTGAGGTTTGCCCCACCGCATGAGATTTGCCTAGACTCAGCACTGAGGTTTGTCTCGCCTAACCGGGATTTACCTAAACTTAGTTGAACTTCGACCCACCATCGGCAAGGCTGACACAAATGTGGCTCTGATACCATATGTAACAGCCCAGCCCGCTAGTGATATTGTCCGTAGGCCCTCACGGGTTTAAAACGTGTCACTAGGGTCCAAGGCTTCTTAACTTATATATCCAACATCCCTCTTGTGTTTTGCCGATGTGGGACTCTGTCTATAGTCTGGGGTGTTACAGAGCTACATGATACGAAGGGGTTCAATTGAATCTACTTTGTCAAAAAAATTATTATACTCAAATAAGTTAAAAGCAAAAAAGAATTATGAGTGTGTGTATATATATGAATTGTTGAATACACTTGACGTAAAGGAAGCTTATAGTTTAGTGATAAAGCAGGCTCAAGAATTGCTCTAGATTGCAAATTTGAATTACATGTGCAATATTCTTGTATTTTTTTAATTTGCTTGTTAGAATTTCTGGCTCCACCATTGATTATAGGTTAAGAATATATCGGCCTGAATTGAATTCAAAAGCTAGAGAAAAAATATACCTGATTTGTGTCAAGATCCAACTTGTGCGAAAACACTCTGATTTCTTCTATTTCTCTAGGTGAATTCTTGCTGAATGTGCAATTATCAGATGTTTTCTTCTTGTAAATGGTCTTGATTTCATCCATGCCAGAAGAAACTTTGTTCAAGAAAAAAATAATCTGCTTTTTACATTGATCAGACTCAAATTTCCTTGTATTATATTCATAAAGTGTACCATATGCATTCTTTTTCCAGGGCAAGTAACTCTCTTGTACACGCTGAGCGTCTGTCAAAAACACATTATGTGCAAAAACTTGTACAGCATATCCCCAAGACACTGACACTGTCCAAGAAAATCGACGATCATAACATACTGCTTGCTGCAAAAGTCGTTGTGGATCGAAACTTGCAGCCTGGTACAAATGCTCCAGAGACTTCATTCTTGTCATATTAGGGAATATCGGTTCAATTATCTCCATATGATGCAGAGATACCAAAGGTCTAATGGAATGTGCAGCCAATAATCCAAATACATTTCCATGAAAATCCATCTAGTCATTCAATTTCACACAAACAGAACAAGAAAATTGGTGTTAAATTCACCTTCCATCTACCAAAATTCAAAATTTGCAATGTAGTAAAGTAAAAAAATACTCTCCACTATACCAAACATCTTAATTTTACCTCCATTGTGGTTTTGAGTCATTCATATTCATGTTGTTAACAAATCGTCTTCTATTAGCCCTTTGCCTTAACTAAGCTCCTATCCGAAATATAATAGGAGAGTAATTTTTAAAACATAGCCAAAAGTAAAGTGGTAAATTTAGACGCGTTTCTTGAAGTATTTTGATGCCTAAAATTCATCGAATACGGCATTGTGGCTTCACCAAAATCACGGGCAAATACGACACGATTAGTTAACAGCAAGATATGAATTGTTCTATAATGTAACGGGGAAATTAAGATATTTCTTGTAGTAAAAAAGTAAATTTGACTTTTTTTCAATTACAAAAAGGCAGCCCGGGTGCATTAAGCTCCCGCTGTACACAATGTTCGGGGAAAGGCCGGACCACAAGGGTCTATTTATATGTAGCCTTATGCAGCATTTTTGCAAGAGGTTGTTTCCACGGCGCGAACCCGTGACCTGCCGAAAAAATGGCAGCAAATTTACCAGTTACCCCGGTCTATTTTTCCAATTTACAAAAGAGCATCTAGGTGCCCTAAACTCCCACTATGTGCATTATCTGGAAAAGGGCCTGACCACAATGGTCTATTTGTATGCATACTTACCCTGCATTTCTGAAAGATACTGTTTCCACGGCTCGAATCCGTGACCTTCTTGTCACATGGCAACAACTTTATCGGTTACGCCAAGGCTACGCGGTCTATTTTTCTAATTTACAATGGCAAAAAAAGGAGAAGATATACCTGATGGAAACCGGGCTCATGTGTTAAAGTAACACCAAGCTCCGTCAAACAAGCATGAATTCTACCATCACTTCCATAAAGGTGTGGATATCTCTCTATACATGAATCAAATACTTTAGCCAAAACATTACCCAGTGGATAACTTATAGCAAAACCAGCACCACCAAAAGCCATTTCAAAGGAAAAAAACTTGTTCTGTATAAAACTTTCAGAATTTGACCCAATATAATACCAAAGCCCATGGTCATATTTAGAAAGTGTTTTCACCAAATTTTCAGGGAAAAAAATTGTGTCATCGTCTCCAAATACAAACCACCTAACATTTGAATGATTAAGTGCTACTGTTTCTGAAACTACACGTGCCACTCTAATAGCTGAAGGATTCCCACCTCTATTTGTATATGGGAATCTTGAAATATCCTCAGAAATATAAATTGGAGGGAGCAAAAGAGAATCATTTGTACTACTATTAGGCATTTTTTCAAGAAACACACAACCCCTCATTTCATTTGGTTTGTACCATAGCTTAACAAGTTCTTTTCTCTTAGACCATGATTTCTCATTAGACGCAATACCAAAAACAACATGGTGAAGTGTTGTTGGAGATGATAAATCATATTTTTGTGATGAAATTGAGGTATGAACAAAGTTGGTTTTAGGGGCAAGAATGATAGGATATAGAAAATAGATTATAGAAACAAAAGAGGACACTAAAATAAGATTTTTGATGCTATGGCAAGATGCGATTTTGCTTGGTAGTTGAATTTTTTTCATTTTTTTGAAGATGAACGAAGGGGTTTTAGAACGGATTAACTGTTATTAGAATGGAATATGAATAAAGTTAGTAGGTTTTGAAGATGGAGTACCTTTTTAGACACCGCAATCTACGCCCAAGGCAAAGTAGGAATATAGAATTTTATGCCTCGAAAACTTAATTGCATCTCCACATGTTAATAGATTACTAAGTACAAGGAATAAAGAAAAGACTTTGACCACAAAAAGAGATTGGAGAGATGAGAATGCTAGTTTACTTTTAAAATAAACTAGTATTAGTACCCAATGCACGGATACATTTCATGTCAAATTATGATTTGAATTATGTATAAATAACTTTAAAATATAAATATTCCAGATAAATTTTTTAGATAATCATTAGATATTAATTAAGAAGTAAGACATGAAACAATTTTGCAAATCTCTTAGTTGATAACATGTTTTCTTTTTCTATATTTATATAATCCAACCGGTTAATTTTAGTATTTGAATTTCGTAACGTTATCAATATTTTTAAAAAAAACACTAAATATGTCATGTGGTGATTTGTCTCGTTTGAACATATTAGATCATATTATTTTAATAAAATTCTTAGTATCATTTTATTTTTTATCTCACGCTCCAATAAGTCTTATTCTTTTAAAATTTACACATTTTTTTTGTTCTTTGCTTATAATTATTATATTATTTATTATTTAATATTATTATACTTTCATATGATTTTTTTTCGGCTAATTAACTTACTATCTTACTTATTATCCTTTTAATAATTATAGATAAATATTATTTTTTATTTTTAAAATTTAATACTCGATAATATTTTACTATTTAAATCTACAGTATTATTTTTGAATATTATTCAATTATTTACTTTGTTTTATTTTAAAATAATTTAAAGTACAAATATCCTCACACTATCTCTATTTTTTTCTTTATACAGTCTATTCCCTACTAAGAAATTTTTAATTAATTTTTTATATTAATATTTTACCTGTAATCAAAATAATATCATATTTTACTTTAAATTATAACTTTGATTAGTCTAAAATATTAATATACAAGTTCTTTGATTATTATATTCCAAATCTATTGAGTTTTTCTTATATTTATTTTTTGTATTACATGCAATAAATTTTCTTTCCTTTTAGTTTCAAGATACAAAATTTGATTTTTTGTTTTCGTTAAAAAATTACTTCTATTAGATATTTATTTTATATTTTTTAAAATTTAATTCTATATCTAGCAAGAATTTAATTTTTGGTGGTCTTATCCATAGTTTGAGCATTCTCATCATAATGTTAAGAACTTTCTAACATTAAGTAAAATAGTCTTTCATTTCTAATATTAAATTTTTAATTATTTTTTTTACTTTTGCTATTATGTTATCAAATATATGGTATTATCACAGTTTCATATGACTTTTTTTTTTGGTAATTATCATATTTTATTACCAAAGCAAGAAATTACAGTTCAAATCAACAAACACTAAGTGTGGACATCTTCCCAGGCTCAGTTTCATCAAAAACTTCTATCCTTCCTACTGACTATCAGTTTACAATTTTTTATATTGTCAGTACTTCATCTTTCCTTATGGATAGAAATTCAACTCTTCAAGCCTTCTTCTTAGTTTTGGCAACGTATAGCTCCTTCCACATATCATTTGTATAGTTTGCTTAATCAGTAACCCCGCTTGCTTTTGCTTATGTTGAAAAATTTTGTGGTTTCTCTCCTGCCACACGTGATAGACACAACTTGCTAGTGCTATTCTGTAGATTTCAGAATTTGTTGATCTGCTTTTTGCATTGCTGCATGTCCATTCTATTTCTTGACTCCATTCCATCGTTTGCCTTGTAATACCCATCCACTGCAATACCTTACTCCAAATTGCTGCTGTAAATGAACATTTGAAGAACATGTGTTCCAAGCTTTCCTCTTCTACTTTACACATAGGACATAGTAGCTCATTTGTTACTCCCCATCTTGCTAGTCTATCTCTGGTATTCATCTTGCCCAGTATTGCCATGTACAATATAAAAGTCCACTTTGGCATTCCTCCATTATTACATATCAGCTTCCTCCAATGCACCTTCTGGTGATCCTTCCTTAACATCTTGTATATATTGCTGATGGTTATGTGCTTCTTCTCGAGTGTTTCTTCCAAGTTGATCCCAGCCTCTATCATATACTGCTTAGCCTTCAGAATCTTCCTCACTAGCCATGAAGCTTGATTAGCTTCAATATATTTTATAGCTCTGCCTTTCCCAGTTTCATATGGCTTTTAATTAAGTTGCCACTTTATTTAATATAATTATCCATTACTATCCTTTAATATAATATAGATAAATCTAGAATTTTTTTAATCTTAAAATAAGTATCTATTTTATTTTAAAAACATTGCTTGAATTCTTGAGTTATTTAAATTTATCAATAGTATTTTTAAGTATTTTATTTCACTTTATTTTATTTTATAAACTAATTCTTAGCATAAATATTGTCACACTATTTCTAATTTATTCTTAATATTTTTCTTTATATATTTTAAGAAGAATTGTTTTTATCTTCAAAAAGGTTATATCCTTCTAATTTTTAATTGGACTGCATTTTTAAAAGTTATCTTATGCTTTCAATAACTGCACTTAATTTAGATCTTAATCTAAAAATTAATTTCTGTTATGAAACAAAGACTATAAAGTAAAGACAAGTATAGAGAGAAACTGATATATTATTCGAACTCAAACTGATCTACATAATGAACTGAAATCTCTTCTATTTATAGAAGAAAGGAAACTGCTCTGTAAGCTGCTACTACAAGCTGCTGTGTAAGCTGCTGCTGTACCAGATATGGATAATCTTCTACTGAGAGCAATATTTATCCATAACGGGGTACTGAATGGATAAGCTTATTATACCCGGTATGGATAATCTTCTACTGGGGGGTAATATTTATCCATAACTAGGTACTGAAAAGATAAGCTTATTATACCCGATATGGATAAACTTCTACTGGGGGTAATGTTTATCCATAACCGGGTACCGAAGTGATAAGCTTCTTCAGGAAGCTTATTTCCAATATAGTACTAAATAGATAAATATATTTACGGTGGAGTCCCATATGGATAAGCTTCTTCAGGAAGCTTATTTACAACGGAGTACTAAATGAACATCCATAATATAATATATTTATAACACTCCCCCTTGGATGTTCATTAAAAGATAATGTGTCTCATTAAAACCTCACTAGGAAAACCCACGTGGGAAAAAAATTCTAGTGAAGGAAAAAGAGATATTTAGTAATACACATTGTTAGGTGCCTCATTAAAAACCTTATAAGGAAAACCCCATGAGAAAAAAACCTTAGTAAGGAAAAAAGAGTGCATCGCGTATTTTACTCCCCCTGATGAAAACCTTGTTTCAAATATTTGAGTCTCTGCATTCCAATCTTGTATACCATCTTCTCAAAAGTTGAAGTTGGCAAAGATTTAGTGAATAAATCTGCTGGATTATCACTTGAACGGATATGTTGCACATCAATGTCACCACTTTTCTGAAGATCGTGTGT